CTCTCTCTCTCTCTCTCTCTCTCTCTCTCTCTCTCTCTCTCTCTCTCTCTCTCTCTCTCTCTCTCTCTCTCTCTCTCTCTCTCTCTTCTCTTCTCTCTCTCTCTTCTCTCTCTATCTCTCTCTCTCTCTCTCTCTCTCTCTCTCTTTCTCGCTGTCTCTTATTCGGCGTATGATGTTCGTTCTGACGCCCCAGTGCCACGTGAACGCACGTTCTATATATACGGAAGCTTACACAGCCACGAGCACGCATTATGCGGGCCACACTGCTTTACATTAGGTAACATAACTTGAGAGCGCGTTTGTCTTATATATAGAACTAGTAAGAGAAACCCCAGCGCAGTATCAATAAATCGCCAAAAAGGGATCCGCGCCCCTTTGGATGGACAGCTGCCGATAAAAGTAAATTGCTAGCCTGCTTGCAACCAGGCCCAGCGTAGAAAAACACCAACGAACAAACATATTTACTTGGGTGTTTGGATGTACTCGCCGACTAGCGAACGAATCAAACAAAGCGAATGTTTTTTTAACTTATCTATTTTGAGCTCGGATAAATGACTGATACTCACACAAAACATGTCCGTTCCGCATTGGTTTATATTGTTTCGTTGCTCCGTAGGCTAGCGACAAGGTTGAGAAGAAGAAGGGTGGCGCCAAGAAGAAGGCCCAGAGAGCCACCAGTAATGTCTTCTCTATGTTCGACCAGAGGCAAGTGCAGGAGTTCAAAGAGGTAATTCTATAGCGGATTTGCATCCCTGTGTTTCTTCTCCAAACGCCAAGGATGCGGAAGCTAATTAAAGCCACTATATACCTTTGAACCGTTCTATGTTATTATTTAATTAGTTTATATTATACCCAACTCAACCCAACATATCTTTTACACTGAACTCGAGCTAGGTAGAATATAATATTACGAACGCACGAAGAAAATAAAGTGTAAACAGAGCCAGGAAACGCTACTCAGTTCGGCGCGTGGGTTTTCTAGCGTAAAAACACTTTACCTAACGACAGAACACTCAAACCCGAGACACGGTTGCAGGAGAGCCATCGTCACATACCTTACATATAGTCAAGAGTTCATAATAGACTATATTTTCTATTATGGACTCTTGATATATAGTCTAGCTGTAAGATGGCGCTGCTGGCGTACAGTCGTTACGCGGAAGACGGCAGGCGGGCATGACATCCAGCATCTGCTACAAATCTGTGGCTGCGCCGCAGTTCTGTAAACGCTGCTTGCTGCTATCCAACTCTGCTGCCGAAAGTCCTGATTCTGGCGCGCGGGGTATTCCGGTCTGCCTTTGATTCCCCCACAAGGTCCGGTTTCACCTCCCGTTTATTATTCCTACAACGCTAACCAACAGTTGAGCTAACCTTCTTAACAGTGAAGAGGTCTTCCTGTAGACCATGCCTAACTGCGCGGTCGACCATCGCGTAAAGTTAACAGTGGTATATACTGCGATGTTTTGATATAGTAAGAAATTGTCCCACGATGCCCACCATAATGTTAAAAATGCGTATCATCATGCATCCAATGGATAATCATAGGACTTCCTGCACTTTTCATGCGGCCCCAGCAAAATTATTAATAATCTCCTCTATAGGCCTACATATTGTTACTTTGAATTTGATTTGCTATAACGTATAAGGTCACTGTATAGGCTAGATAGACTATATGAGTGAAACACATACAGTTCTCGCAGTGTATCAGTGCTGCCATGGAATAAACCAAGAGCGTAAACCCATAGGCGATCAGTACTGCACACATGCTAACAAACCGCCACGCACGCCAACGCTCCACGCCTTCGCTACCACTTGTGCCACGCTGCTATTAAATATTAGGAGCCGAGCTAAATATAGACGGGAAACCAAACCGTTTGTTTGTGCTATCGTAATGCCTTCTTTAGGATGGAGGGAGTTTGCTGCTGCCGCGATCCGTGCAGCCCCACAAGCCACTGCGCTACCGCTCCAGATGTTGCCTACTGCCCTACACACAGCAGATAAATGCTATCTTGATGCTATATAAATGCTGATGCTATATAGTAGTTAACGACAACGTATACCTTTAGGATGAGGAAGAGGAGGGTACTATTAAATAATATTGGAAAGAGATTGCTAAACGCTAACCGAGTTATTTGTAACTGTAATTGGCGAGTGACTCAATGCTCAGCTTGTAAAAAAGATACTCACTTATTAATAGATCGTGTGACTTTTGCGCGCATGCGCACTCACTGTGATTGTCGCCCCGCTTCGCACGTTAGCTAAGCGCATCAAATGCACATCCGCTTTGGAAGGAACATGCCGGTCAAAAAGATTTTCAGGATTCGAGATTCATAACATCCCGCATATCTTGAATTTTCTCAAGAAGACATCCTCGTCACCATCGGTGTCATGGGATCTGATAGCTCACCTCTCAGCGACGTCCATGAGTGCATAGCCAATGCACAATTGCAATAGATACAAACTATGTGATTGATGAACAACGCCACTTGCTAATTTAGGATCTCTCTTCTATTAAATTAACAATACTCCATAGCAAACACTAGGAGGGGTTCAGCCAGTCCCACTTGAATTGAATAGAAAATAGGTATGACGATACGGTTAACAACCCGATGTTTTCGGTGGTGTTCGGTTTTCACATTCAAACACGCGAATGCTCGTGTCGCATTGAATTCTCATCCTATAATACTATAGAAAGTTAAAGAGCTTATCCTCTAGCGACTGCAAAAAGTAATAAATTTCGAATCATTACAGGCGTTCACAATGATCGACCAAGACAGAGATGGCTTTATCAGCCGGGAGGACTTGGCAGCCATTTTCGATTCGTTAGGTACGCTGTTGTATATAGAGACAATGTTGTAGCGCCTTCCCGTTTAAAGATTGTACAATAATATTATATTATATATGGTTTTTATATTATTCGTGAGTATATATATATATAATCGCGCGTGGGAGAGAACAGAAACATGAGAACACGAGGAGAGGATGTGGGAAGAGGGGTATAAAAGAGCGTTGGTGAAGAATTCACGCGCGAGGGCGTTACTTATTTTTTATTAATATTTACACAATAATTTTTCGGTTTTATTAACAAGTAATATTGCCTGCGTAGGCCGTCAGCCAAAGACGGAGGAGCTTGATGAGATGCTTGCTGAGGCACCAGGACCCATCAACTTCACCATGTTCTTGACACTATTCGGTGAAAGAGTACAAGGTATAGTAATTGCTTGCTACTTGTGTTATGCTGGTGTAATTATGCTGGTGTGCGCTACAAACTGCAGCCATCACTTTACGTCGGTGTCGTGGTGTTGCATGGGCAGATTCCGTTTTCATGTTGTACGTTTCATATATAACGATTTGCAATAAATGTGTTGCACTGCTGTGTTTGCGCGTGACTTGCACTCTCGTTCTTCGCTATCCCACGTCCTACGTTAGCGGTGCCAGTGTCACACGGGTTGCGTACAGTAGCTCACGGAATGGACGTGGCGCGCATCGTATCACACAGTGCATGACAGTTTCAGACTGATCTCGTGGCCAACTATCTGTGAACGGAGGCGAAGAGACTGGCGTCCCGGGTTGGCTGCATGACGCGTGAGTGCACACACATCACGAACACGACACAGTAGAAGCATATCGCTTTACATATACAGCGAACTTTTCATATAGCACCTGGTCGAACGCGATGTCCGTTTCTGGTGGTGACAGCACCAGCTACTTTGGCGGTGGGCCCCAAAGAGGCGAAGCGGTTAAAGGACCTTGGGTCGCGCAATCAAAATAAACTGCGTAGACGCGATGGGTTATTACGAGTACCGTCGAATGCTTGCATGGCATCGTTATAATATCGAATGCAAAATCTTAGTGAGGGATATATAACATTGTTTTATTTCATCGTAGTTTTATGCTATAAAACTCACACGAACGGCCACGCATAGTTTTTTTTTCTGTTTTGGCAAATTATGGTAGGATGATAGTGGGGGCATGCTACAGTAGTGACAGATAACGGGGTTTAACCGTGAACATGACGATTGTCTTCGCCTTGCATTATTTTTACAATTATAATTTTTTGCTTAAACGTATATCCCAGATAATAATAATTTACACAAATTATTATTATCATTAACCATTTATTGATCAAAATTATGCGCAATACCATGATTATCACTTCCTTCCACGATATCGAGATCGAGATCCATATCGATATTTATTGGTCATAGTAATAACAAATTCGTCACGCATAGAAAATAGTACTAAGTAGTCAAATATATGATTCCGCATGCACAACGCATGTGCATCGTCCGCGTTTGCTGCCTTTTTACATCGTGTGCATGCTCTGTATGATACGTGATCCCAGAAATTTCGAATATCGTGTTGTTTCCTATACTGCAAAAAATACATCATCAGCAAATCATCGTGTGATGTAGCATGAACAGGATATTAATAATTGGGCATGAATATAGTTTTGTTTATTTGCGCTTGTACTCTATTATAAGTTATACATGATATAGGTACTAGATTAATGTGTGTGATAGGATTAGTAGAAGCTTTTTACTTCCTTGCTGAGTGAAATGGCTTCATTTCTTAAACATAGCTGCAGTTTCTATTTCCTTCGTTGAATAATCTTTGCTAATATATTTTTAACGGATTTGACAGCTACGGTAGTCGTTATTGCCTGATTTATTAGTTAGGTATGTTTCAATATAAAATTTGGTAAATTTACATTTATAGTTAGATAAAGGAAACATCAAAACCAGGAAGCAATAACAAATAATGGGTTTTAAATAGTTATAGAAACTAATTATGCACGATGTACCACCGATTATCATGCAAACGCACACACGCACGCACACACGCGCACACGCACGCACGCACACACGCGCACAGAATGAGTGTGTAGTAGTCACGTATCTACAGCATTATTAGTCACTCTTTTTCGTTTCTCTCCCCTATAGGATCCGACCCGGAGGATGCCATAGTGAATGCATTCAAAATGTTCGACCCAGAGAACAAGGGTGCGATCCCGGCAAAGAGGTGCGTAAAACTTTATTTATGCGTGTTTGTGCACAGTAGTTTAGGATAGAAAACATGAAGTGGTTTTGTTTTAAACATCATTTAACCTCATAATTTGGTTTCGGCTGACATCTCGTATATGGTCACGCTACATGCGCAGTTTGGTTTGCGTTTCAACATAATTCGAAATTACGGTACAAGTACCATGTGTGTCCTATTTTAAACTGGTATTGTTTTATAGGCTCAAGGAGCTTATGCTTGGAATTGGCGACAGATTCGATAAGGATGAGGTGAGTAAACGTTTAACCTTCCTAGGTGCAATACCTGAAACACGTCACATGTACTTATAAGGTATCTATCACGCAGGATTGCAATGCCTAGCCTATTGTGATGTTAGTGTTATCTACTTCTTCTTCGGAGTAATTAATTACCATTGCAGTACCATTGCAGTATTACCCTCACAATTTAAAATATTCATTCGATCATTTGCCGAATCTTTAAAAAAGCACAAGCCCACGTATAATCTACAATTATTTACCATATAATGTGTAATAAGTATCTTATTCTTAGTTTCCCAACACCGTTAATATTACTCTATAATTATACATACTCAACTTTAAAATATTTAAGCAAGCGTAAATATGATTACCATGTTTCAGTTTGATCAATTCATCAAGACTGCGACAATCAAGGATGGAAAGTTTGACTACAAGGCGTACGCGCACGTACTGACGCACGGTGAAGAAGATGTGTAAAGCCTACCACCACCAAATAAATCGCTCGCCGCGTACTGAGCATGAACTGAGGAATAGCACTCGTTCATACCTTCTCGATATCCAACTCCAATATTGTTCATGATTCTAAAACTCATCATCTTGTACCGAACTTTGTCATCAAATTAACAAATATTTATTTCAATAAATTACAGAATCGCTTCTGGAACCGAACTGTTTGCAACTTGCCGTTATAAGTTGCCTGTTATATTACCGTACTGTGTTTCGCTGAGATGTAATAGAACAATGCACAGCGGCATGTGCGCATATGTAAACTCGGGTTTCCAGCAACTAGTCGTGGAATGGTCAGATGTGATTTTTTCAAGGTACTATGCTCAGTGCGTTAAAATTCTGTAAACTTCCGGCCACGATCGATTCAATCAAATATTGTCACAATCCTAACAGCGGATTTGATATTAAAACATCAGTTATGCACTTAAAATTTAACATGTTGTTGAAGCACAATGGCATATAATTCCGAGCAGGTTTTAGTTACAATCCCAGGAATAAGTACTGATCCAAGCGGGAGTCGATGCGGGTGTAATAGCTCTGCAGCCTGTAGAACAATAATACCCCGAAGCTTGTCGTATGTGGACACTGCTCACAACAGTCAGAACATAGCGCGCCACACATCTGCCTCTGCTGGCGCCACCTGCTGTGCTGGGCAGTCACCACATATGCAGCGACAATATCTGCTACCAAAGCGCTCGGCCTCGCAAAGAGAAACCTAAATAGCATTCAGAACCATATATTTGTGCTAACAAATAAGTCAAATGCCGCTGAATTTTCCGAAAGACCCCGTCAGTGACTGAAATAACTTCTACCTTAATGAAATGTTTTCACAGCGGTGGAATATCAATTGCTTAAACATGTCGCTTGGTGAGAAAACAGACGTTTTCTCCCAACATTTGGTGCAAATCCATTGCTTTGCTTTCTCTCTGTTACTGTACGTGTTGTTGTGTGGACGCAGTACTTGCGATGAGTAGACTCAAACTATGTTAGAACGTAGGGACTGTTGTATATGTATGTAAAAATAAGTGAAAATTTTTCAGTAAATTACCTGTGCACGGTTAAAAAAAAGTTTTACTATTTTTCTGACTCATATATAAATCACGTGCGATTTCTAAGATGAATTTTTATATACAAAGTTCGGATTGCATATTTCAAATTCAAATTAATTATACAAAAGTTAGATTATGACCATTTGCAACATAAGTGAAATTTCCCGAATTTTATTTGTATTGCAGGCTAAGATCTGGGTTCGCGTATGCCCCCAGTATCTACCAAAAGAAGTCGTGATTAGTTTAAATAATACTGAATCATGGTAGTGGAGCCTATATCGTAATGCGATGTGTTAAAGATCTAGCACAAAGTCTCACTTTAAAAATGTACAACACGCCCGCCAGTTTATATATAGTGATTATCCGTACAGACTCAGGGCCGTAGGCTGAGCAAATTCCTAGAGGGAGGGGGGGCAGTGGCGGATCCAGGATTTCAAGGAGGGAGTGAGAAACAGGTGGGGGGGTCTGGGGGTCCCCCCACAGAAAATTTTGAAAATGTAGATCGCAGAAGATGGTATTTGAGGCACTTTTGAGTACATGTACAGTCTTCATTCTGACTACGATAATTCTCTTTTATTAAATCTATTTATTTTTTTAATTTTGCTACCCTGAGACTGAAAAATTTGACATGGTATTAAACATATAGTGATATACCATTCAAATCCGGCGAATAGAAGGACGAATTGTATTGTTTTATTTTCAATACAGGATCAGCCCCAGTAACAATAAAAGTGGTATAGGCCCTATACATACGTACGTACGAACACACGCACGCACACACACACACACACAGGCACGCACGCACGCACGCACACACATAATTCCTATACATTTTCTTACTGATAATTATCGTTTTATGATTCTAAGAGACTTCAAAATTTATTAAAAATATAGAAATCACTCATGCAATATTCTGAATTAAGTAACTCATTTAATAATTATACATATAAATAGGTATATACATATACTACATAAATTATAGGTGTTATAAATTCGAGTTCTACTGACATATATATATATATATATATCGTAGATATTTTACCATATACCTATTCTATTATATCTATATGGTATCATATATGTCTATATGATATATTTCTACGAGACTTTGCTGCCGTCAGAGCACGTGACGTATATAGGGAAGTCTATTTCCACCCGTGATAGTATGAGTGGTTACGCGTGAGTGTGTGTATTACACCCTTTGCTAGCGTCTATGTGAATGCAGGTAATAAGAGAACATAACGATTATGTTGAACGTATGCAGTTATCCCTTTAATTGACAGACTTAACTATGCATCCGCCCATAACGAGGCGAATGCGTACAATCAAGGTACGCGAGTAACATCACCTAACTTACGAGGTTAAGGATGTGTGGTAGCTGGCTCGAACCAATCTCGTCTAGTCTGTAAAGTGTATCTAACTATCGCTCTGCCTCCTCTCTCTGGTCGAACACGCGGTTATATACTCCATAGGTAGACACGCCTACCTATTGTTTATGGTCAGTCCGTACTACATTACTGTCTGTTATTGGCTAATTCTACCCAGGGGCGTGTACAGGGGAGGGGGGGGTCCAGGGGGTCCGGACCTCCCCCTGCTCGCGCAGAAAACGCATCTGAAGGTCTAATTGAAAAAAATTTTTGGGGGAGGGCCCCCCAAACGTGCTCGCAAGTTTGGGTTACGGTTACACCCCCCCCCCCTGGTACAAATCCTGTACACGCCCCTGCTACCCTGTCTATTCCCGCGTTACAACTTTACACAGCTAGCCATGTATGCCAACCCAGAACAATAGGTTATTGCTATCTATTTATTTATCTGTCTTTCGACGGTATTACACGTATAGGTCTATACATATCATCAGGAGTTAATAAAGACAAAGAAGTTTGACACGTATTTGGTACTGATTTCACTACATTTTGTCGTACGAGTTCGATGTGAACAAAAATATTAAGAGTGAGTCACACGATAGTTGCATAACCATTATTACATTGAATTAAATGCTTAATAGCAGGATTTCCATGACTATATCCTTACTATAAAGAGGCTAATCTTGTGTGTGTGTGTGTGTGTTTGTTTGACCTCGCTTTTCTCCGTGATTTTTCACTCAATTGTGGTAACTGAAGATATATTCAGAATCACCACGTCTTGCAAGTGGTTCTGGCTGAGACAAAAATTTAAAAAAGTTAAAAAGTAAAAAAAAATTGTATTAAGTCAAAATTCAATCATCACGTACGTGGGAATTATTGCGCGTGTCTTGACTTGTGTTGTGTAGTCGGTAGGAGCTCGGTTTCATAACCCGAGATTGCGGGTTCGAATCTCAGATGGGGGAAAAAAATTTCTCCTTTACTTTTTGACTCTTTAGTATGTACTTCTGCCACTTCAGCATTCATTTCAAAATTGAAAAAATTAATTTTAATACATTCATGAAAAAAAAATTTTTTTTACTATTATTATTATTTTACTACTATTATTATTTATTATATTTTCATGTCTTTTATCTTTATATTATTTATATTCTTTTTTATTGTTTGGGATTGGATGGGATGGGATGGGTCGGATGCGATGGATCGGATCGGATCCCATGAGATAGCATAGCATAGGATAGGATGCAATGGGATGGGATAGAAGACGATGGGATGGGATGGGATGGGATGGGATGGGATGGGATGGGATGGGATGGCATGGCATGGGTGGCATGGGGTGGCATGGGATGAGATGGGATGAGATGGGATGAGATGGCAAGGCATGGCATGACATGTGATGGATGGAGAGATGGCTGGCTGGATGGATGGATGGATAGATGGATGGATGGATGGATGCATGCATGCATAGATAGATACATAGATAGATTGATAGATAGATAGATAGATTTTGCGGTATTTTCCTTTCAACCAAGTGGTCACCAACTGAGGCACTTTTTCCCTGCTCACTTATAGAATTGCGCTCTTTGTTTCTCCCCAAAATGTTTTTTGTTTCCGTTTTCTTTTCAGTTGCATGAAATATTTAACTTCAACTGTGTCACTTACTGTTACATGAAGTTTATATTTTAAGGCATGATTTGGTCGTTGTACAGGTATTTCTGCTAGTAGTTATAACATGAACAAATACATTATGCAATGCAGCTATGGTTGCTGACTATCACAGGCACTTGAAGCGTTTCAATAAAATATAATGCTAAATAAATACGAAATCTATTTACTACCAAATTCTTAATGTTTCTATACTCTCTTTCACCTATATTGCCGACAGTTTCCTGTAAATTCCGTCAAATCCTATGTCCAACATACGCTGGCCGCAGCCATTCCTCACGCAGCCTGCACTGTGACACT